TTAAATATACTTCCTGGTGTATATGTTGCTATAGCTTTGAAAAAGTAAAGTGTACTCTGTTCTCTCAGAAATATTCATGTCAGGGCCAGGGATTTAATTCAGCAGTTCCGCAGCCTGCTTCACAAGTGTAAGGTCCAGAGTTTGATCCCTGATACCAAAAGAAATAAAAAAGAACTATTCCTGTTATATGTACTAAATAGATTTATTTCTAAAATTGTCTCATTGTAAAATACAAGAGCAGTAGGTAGTGCCTTAGCATTAATCTATGGTTAGGAAATTTTGGCAGCTGTTAGCTTGCTAATCATGAAAAGAAATTATGCATACCAAAAGAAAAGAAAATAATGTATGGGTAGAAATCTTCATTGGCTAACTGGACATTTATTCTGAATTGCCTTTGGCTTCAACCAAAAAGTTATGGAGAGAGAGAGAGAGAGAGAGAGAGAGAGTGTGTGTGTGTGTGTGTGTGTGTGTGTGTGTGTGTGTGTGTGTATTTCCTTAATTCTTATCATATACACTCCAGGACAAGCTCTAATGATTCTGGTCATAGGTGTAGAATAGGTGAGCCTGCACTGTGAGACATTTTGTTGTTTTTAGTAATACTACCTGAAGATTTAGTTTCAAAGTGAGATGCTTTCTAATAACTAGCAAGGAGTTGTTACGAAGTGTGAATTGCATTTTGGTGGATATTCTTTGTCTTACTAAGAAATGCCTACTGAAAGATGCATTGAATCATAAAAAATATATCTGGATATATATTTGCTATGTGATCTGATGTTTTCTCAAAGTATATAATTCTTTACAGGTCCTTCTGACCTTACTGAGGTACATGTACATAATGCATTAACAGAGAACTGTGATTTGACAGGCATAATTTCAAAATCATGTAATACTTGCTGGTTTTTCAGTGGAGGATGAATGCTAAAAACTTTTATAAGCACATTTTTCATTGGGTGTGGAAAAGAAATTACACTAGAAAGTCCTTAAGAATAGTAATATAGGTATGTCATCTATACATATATATATATATGTATATATGATATATCTATATATATCGATCCATACGTAATAAAACCCTTTGTAATACTGTGACAAAATGTTTTAAAGAAGCTTGAAACTTTTGATTATACTATTGTACACAAAAAGTCTGTGTTTCCATTTGTTATCTGAGGAAATGCCCACTAAAAAGAAATATAATTTCCTTAGGTCGAGGTTAACTTTTTCAAGCATAAACAGTAAGCCGGCATGTGTTCACTGATTTTTCTAATTGAATGCTACTGAGAGTGAACAATGTTAAAAAGCCACAAATTAAAACTGGAGCTGATATTAGTGCTGCTAGGAGCAATTTGAAAGGGGCATAAAAGGCTGACAGAGAGTTCAATAACCCAGACTAGTAGGCCTTCAATTCTTTCATTGAAGCGACTCCTGTAAGTATCATTGCAGGAGGTCTACATATATATCTGCAGAGAGGTTACAACTTAAAGTAGAATTAAGAAAAGAGAAAAAAGAGTGGTAGTGTTGTTTACCCTTCTCACATTTCATCTTGGGCCACCACACAGTGAGTATTCTCAGGAAAGACATATTTGTATAAAATGAAATTTTGAGTTCTCAGTGTATAAAACAAAAGGTGACTGCTGCTGTGAATCTCAAATCAATTCATCTGATTAATATTTTCATTATATTTACATTTATCTTCTTCAAATGGATAATACATTTAAGCAGAAATAATGCCCTACTAAACTCCAGGCAGTCCTCCTATCTTGAAGAGCAAAGTTCTAGATTTTAGGAATTACCTTACAACATCGCAGAATTTCTAAAGCCTTCAATTTTTTTTTTTTTTTTTTTTTTTTTT